TTTTGTAGCAACATTTTTATCACGAGAGAGATCGCATTTCTTGTGTTAGATTAATGCCAACGTTCAAAGAAAAACATGTGATGGCAATTATATAGATAACTGTACGTCTTTTGTATGCGGAATTAAAATGTATATAGTTTAATAAATTATTTTTGAAAGTTATTGCAACTAAAACTTCAGTAGCTTCAATAATTACAAAATAGTTTGTCAAACTATATACCTTAATTTTACATACAAAACTCATACTATCAGCTATATATTTGCCTATATAGTTGTCTTTTCTCTGAGTGAATGATATGCAGAATGTCTAACAAGTAAACCTACCCAAAAGGTACACTCCGATTTCTTTCTAATTTGTCACAAATGTACAAGCACAAAAAATATTTAGGTTATATTTTTTCATTTTGGCCCACTTTGAGTTTCACGGACAGTTTATAGCTTTTTAATGTTCTCACTCCTATCATAAACAAGTATAACAAAAATGCATAAGAAATAAAATTGAATACAAGATATAATTAAATAATTTTAACAAAATCGGCATAGCTGAGTCTCGAACCATTCTAATTTTCTTTAACCGAGATTCCAACCGAAATATTTTTAATCTGTGCAAAAATGGTTCAAATCTTAGCCAAACCGAGAAATTATTTGTATAAATAATTTTTTTAACTTTTTATATGTTTTGTTTGAACATTTTATTATTTCTACAAATAATTTTACACATTTGACTTCATATTCATAATCAGCAAACCAAAAACGCCTATATCTTGTATACAATTTTATTTCTTATGCATTTTTGTTGCACTTGTCGATGATAGGAATGAGAACATTAAAAAGTTATAAACTGCCCGTGAAACTCAAAGTGGGCCAAAATAAAACATATGACAAATATTTTTTTGTACTTATACATTTGTGCCAAATTAGAAAAAAATCGAAGTGTACCTTTCGGGTAAGTTTACTTGTAAGCGAGAAAACGCTCGTGTACATGTGTGGATTGGGTTAAACTGAACACCCAATTCCTCTACCATTTTGCAAACAACCACGTAGGATTTGAGGTTACTAATTAGAGAAAACTGACGAATGATATGATAAGTATGATATTCCACTGTGTATTTGTACATTAATTTAAATTGAACGAAAAAGTTTTCTACACGGAAAAAACAACTGAATTTAGTGTAACTGAATTTTCTGCTACCTGAGGACCAAATGAAAAACTCTGTTGCAGGAACAAGAAGATACCTGTAGGAGGTTTCCACGTAGCTAATTGCTTTTTCAGTTATCTCAACCGAGTTTTAATGCAACTGAACATTCAAACAAATGTTTTCGGTCACAGTAACAGAAATATTATTTCTCCTCAGCGAGTTTTTCGTCTGGTCCCTGTTCAGTTGGGCGAACTGAGACTTTATGTTTTTTATGTTCAGATTTATCCCTCTAATATATAAGTGTACAACGGGAATTTTTACTGTCATATTTTGCATTATACAGCGCGCCATCATTCACCAATCTTCTTTGATTAATTAATAACTCAAAATTTTACGTGATTGTTTGCAAAATGGTAGAGAGACTTTTGTGTATAGTTTGACGAGCAGTGCGTCAGACCTTCTATATAATAAATATATCCTACAGAATGAAGTTTCTCGACGGGATCGAAAATAATTGAATTGTTCCACTCGAAAAATATAATCCAAAGCGTCCCGAAGAATCGATAGTTACGGGCGGCAATGAGATATATTTCTACTTCGATGTTTGTAAAACGCCACGTACGAACTTCTCGTGTGATTTAGTAGTCCAGATTACGCGATATACATCACCGGCAAATATTTCATTGCGGGAATTTATGCGAACCATCACGCGCATTACGGAGAGAAGTTCCTTGCCGTGTCATGCCGCGAGAAAGATATGGGAGTCACATTCGAGCCAACGACGTTCGGTTGATCGAATATATTAACGTGCGGGCAATTTGTACAGCCTGACGGATATAACCCCCGAGAACCATCGGTGGCAAAATGTATTCCGGAGATTACCTCCCGAAATCCGTCGTGCTATTAGACGAAAAAGAAAGAAAGAAAGAAAGAAAAAAAAAAAAAAAGGAGAAAAGGAAGGAGGAGAGAGTCCGCGCGCGCGCGCATCGATAAGATATACGTTTCGATAATGAAAAAGTTATAAATCTGGAATTGTGAAATGGCGGGTCGGTATAAATCTTCATCGGGTAGCGCTGCCAAATCCCTTCGTACCGCGCAAATCCCTTTCCAATATTGAAAAAAGTGATAGGTCCAGTATGTAATGATCCGGTATTACCCGCAACCACGAGGGAACGGTATCGATCTATCGTTGGTATTCTGTTGGCATCGACCGCGCATCCTCCGTTGTGCATCCTCTCGCGTGTATTCAATTATAAGACATCACCCCCGAATAAAACAGCCGTGTGCGTAATCGCAGCTCAAATGCGCGCTCGAGCACTTAGAGCCGTATTAATAGTCGTTACTTGAAACTTGCCTCAGGTGAGATACTCGCATTTGAATTTAGAGTTGGACGTGAATCTCTTAGCTGAATCTCGCAAATATAATATCGCCATATATCTCGTGATATAAAAAACTCAAATTTAATTCTAAATTCAGATTTGAGTGTCTCGCACAGGACAAGTTTATTAATGACTATTAATACGCGGGCTTTAACTCCGCGCGTTCTCCAAGACAGAAGAAATCGCGGATATTCGATCGATAACGTCGGATGGCTCAACGAGAACCCGAGACATTCGCGTTAATTCTCCCGAAACTCTTGTCTCTGGTAAGTTCTCTTCTCCAGCGAGCTTTAACAGTTCGGGCCCCCACGTCGAGGGGTCTACTTAATTTAAGAAGCAACCTAGGATCTCGCGGGCGCGATGAAGATCTGCCGCGAGAGTTACTGCACAAATCGCCCCACGATCACCCTCGAAGAAAACTTTAAAGGAAATCGCGCGATACCGCGAGATAACGCGGGATTCATCGGGGGGTTGCCGCCGGTATAAACAAGACCGACCGCCTGTCTGCTTTTTTTTCTCCCCACCGTGAACGAGTCGAGCGCGAAAGAGTACGCGGGTATATATTGTCGTAATATTTCGAAAAACGCGCCGGCACTCTCCGGGATCCGGGGGCAATCTCGCCCTCGAAGATGGCATATACGCGGAGGTGAATCGCCTCTTCCCGAGGAAATCCGAGGTAATTGAATGCTAACCCTCCTCACCCCCGGCGCGTTCCCTCGCCGCGCTCTCGCTCCGCGCAACCCCTCCTCATCCTCCACCCTCCGTGTCGCGTCCCTCATCCGCCGACCGCCCTCCTCACCCTCAACAACCCCCTCAACCCCCGTGGGCTTCAGGGGGCGCCACACTCGCACTCTCGCTCCCCCTTCGCCATCACTCACCGACACAGACTTGTAGCTTTCAATAAAAATGTAAATATGGCGGCGTAGAACGAGCCAATGACAGCGCTACATCGACGCCCGGAGTCCGTGAGGGATAGATAGAGAGGCAGAGAGAAAGGCAGAACCCTGCCCTGCGGCAGGGGTTGAGGGTTTCGAAATGGGAAGCCGGCTCTCTCTCTTCCTCTCTCTCTCTCTCTCTCTCTCTCTCTCTCTCTCGGAGGGTCGAAGATGGCGAAGGATGAGGATGAGGAGGAGGAAAAGGGGATGTAGGGTAAGGGGGTGGCTTCGGCGCTCCGTGCAGAACGTCGAAGGTGGATAGCGAAGAGGCGGTGGAGCTTGCGGGGAGCCGGAGAGGTGTCCAGGGAGGGGGTAGAAGAGGGTGCAAAAGCTCCCGCGGAGCACGAAAGAAGGAGAAAGGGCGAAAGAGAAGGAGAGAGAAAGAGAGAGACACCCCGGGCTCGCGCCGTCTCTCTGTCCTTTCGCTCACCGTCACCGCGCGGCTTCACCCGAGTTTCACCCGTGTCTCATCCAAAGTTCTCCGTTCTTCTCCCTTCTCCTATTCCTGCGAGAGCGAAGGAGAGCGAGGGGAGAGAACGGACGCGCCGCTGGCGTCCACGAGAAAGAGAGAGCGATGCTGAGGATGACGCAGGTGCCGCAAAGCTTGACACGTCTCCGGCTGTTTTGTCACCTTCTTTTATCCTTCGAACTTTTTACCGGCTACCTCGTTAGATACCCTCCCTTCTCGCCCTCCCACCCTCTCTTTCTCTCTCTTTTCTCGTCCCCGCGCCACCCCTTTGTCCACGGTGGTTTCGCGGGCGGGGCGCGTTGATGGAGTAAGCCGGGCGACGAGCGGGACGCTTTTTAAAATCGCACCTCCACGCGAACGAGCCGCTTTTTGCGCACGTCGTCGTGGAAGGTTTTCCCCTTCCCCGTATCCGCCCCGTCAACGGCTCCGATCGTGGCGGATTTCTTTTTTCGTTTCGTTCGGCGGGGAGATTTTTCGGCCGCGCGCGGGATTATTCGCGGGCGTGCGGATTTTCGCGCCGAGGTGATGCTTTGATCGATCTCTCCGGTGTCAGTGAAGAACACGAAGAGACAAATGTCTCTTCAGTTTTTTTCTCCCCAAGGGGATGTCCGTGATACGGGCTCGATGATTATCGGGATATTCGCGATGTGAATCGCGCGAAACTCCGGCTGTCACGTTAAGGGTCGAAAAGAGATGTTTTCATATTTCGGAAAGATAATGCGTGAAGTGACTTCCCCTTCTGTTGTAATAATCAGCATACTTTGAGGCACGAAAAAGAGAAGATAAATTTAGTTGGATTAATGAAATTTCTTTTTGATGAAATCTGAACGAAACCCAGTTTAAGTTGGTAGAATTTTGTGTTCAAGTTAACAAGATTCTGGTTGAGCAAAAATCTCATTCTACTAACTTTAACAGGAATCTCTGACTCGTTCATATTTCACCACTCGGTTGATCCAGCTAAATTTTTGTTTTCGTGTGAAATTGTGAGGACAGGATTATGTTGAAATGACGGAAGCGTCGTTCGCGCGACACAGTTCATCGAATACGCGATGTAAAGCGTTGTAAAGCGAGACGTTACCTTGACTTGCGACTCCGACATCCCAAGGGCGTACGCCAATTTAGCGCGCTCCGGGCCGGCTAGGTACTTGGTTTGCTCGAAGGTCTTCTCCAGGGCGAAGATCTGCTGTCCGCTGAACGTGGGCCTCGTGTGCTTCTTCTTGCCGCCCTCGTGTTCTCCGGTGCCGCCGCCCGTGCCCGTCATCGCTTGCTGACAGCCCAGCTGTTGCGACACTGCAACATTCGCGTCACCCGGTGAATACCTCCTCGAATATCCGTTTCACGCCGTTACGAATGGAGTAATTAGCTCGAATGTACGTCGTACCTTCCGCAAACGCACCTATGTTGGTGGACGCCGTAATCGTTTAATTTTGCCTTTCGCGTGAAACACATATTGTCTTTTGCGCTTAGCGCTCTTAGTCGTGCGCGGAAAAGAAAAGTTGGGTTGGATTAACCGAATTCCCGGTGAAATGTGAACGAACCAGAAATTCCACTCGAGGTTATCAGAATTCTGTTCGAGTCAACAAGATTTCGGATTAACTTGAACAGAATTTATCAAGATATCTTGTTAATTCAAATTTCTTTTTCGTTTAAGCTTGGCGACAAATTACCACAAGAACATTTAAAGAAATATAACTTCAACAAATCTGAGAATATATATTGCAGCAATTTTCAATAAAATTTCTGATTGACTTAAACAGAATTCTGGTAACTTTAACTGGAATGTTCTGGTTTGCTCATATTTCATTGGAAATTTGATGAATTCAACCAAATGTTTTTTCTTTGTATCTAAAAGGAATCTTTTCGATCGAGAGAACTCGTTTCATTTTTTTTGTAATCTCAAATATCGCTGCTTTTTTTCGAAATGCTTCGTTGCAATATAAACGCGTGCTTCTCCTCTCCCTCTGTCTTTCTCTTTTTTTTTATCCAGACGTCGCTACGATATTACGCCATTTGGTAGTAAACTGCAATTCTCGATACGGCGTCGAGCGTGTCGGTCGTTAAAACGAGAACAGGCGGCTCGCGTTGAAATTCAAGTATCGCTTAAAAAACCACGACGGAATTTTGATATCGCGCGTCCACGACGAGTTGGTCGCTGCAAGCTTTCCATTGGATTTTTCGGCGACCGCGTGCGTCCGCTTGTGCGTGCCATCGTGCGGATTTCATCGGCGGCCCCCCCCTGCCCCCCGCGATCTCTTTTCGCCGGATGAAAAGGGGGAAACTGCAAGCCCCATCTGTGACTTTCTATCGTGACAAGTCGTGGGGGGGGGGGGCAATATTGCCATATTTTACTCCGCCGACATCGATACTCCGGATCACGTAAGATAAGTGAGACTGAGCGCGTGTTCTCGCGCGCGTGGAACGAGTGCACGCATTATCATTGCGCTTTCTCGGTGAATTTGATTTTGTTATATTGCCGTGGGGTGTGCTAATTATCTCAGTGCGCCGCGGCGAAATTTATTAAGGAGGTGCAACGGCGTTGTATGCACTTGCCCCACATACACACTTCAGCCCCCGTTTGTTTCACGTGGGAAAAATATGCCCGCGATATATCTCGGGGCATAATTAGCTTCCACGTTATAACCGTAAGAAGTATTTCATTTTAACCGCAGTTCGAAATTAATTCGCCGTTCTCGGAATTAATTACGGTCCTTACAACGTTGGTAATTATTGCCGCAACCATTTAGTGCTTCTCCCTTTCGCTGGACCTCTCGCGTTGATGCGCGATTTTTGCGCAAAACGAACTCGCCCCTATACCCGCCCGATTATTTATTATTTATCTGATACACACGTGAAATCGTGTGTTTTTGCGAGTCTCGCCGCGAAACCACCGCGTTCCAATCTGCATTCGGAGGTGCGTTCGACTTCAATGACGCGTGTGTGTAATTTTATCGAAACTACATTGTCTCTCATTCGTGATTATTAATCGTCAGCGGGCCGGGAACGTTTGTCTCGTCGTGAGTGTTCCGCGGGCCTCGTCTCAATCGCGCCGGCTGATGATTTTAATCTCGGCCACTCGGTCGCGAGCGGCTCCTCTTAATTAGATCGGAAAAAAGAGGCTCGAGAAAATTCTCGGGCCTAATAGAGAGGGACAATTCAGTCAAAGGGAATAGAGGGGAGAGGGTTGGGCGATTTCGAGTTCGACCGCGGAGACGAGGGGGCCGCACACGATCCGATGCGGCATGTGGGCGCGTATATACAAGGGGGGCGAGAGAGAAACGAAGGGATGTCAGAGGGGGCGGCCGAAGGAAGGGTCGACGCAGGGTCGTGACGCGGTACAGAGTGTGGGTTGTGGGACTTTAATTTAATAAAGCAATTTGTAACGGAATACGGAACGAGGCAATAATGGCCGGTCGGCGGGGAGGGTTCTAATGAGCTGCTTACCGCACTCCAACCCTGAGCCTTCGACGTCGGGGGAGGTATACGTTTTCCGACGTTGGATATCCGTCCCTCACTTCCCCAGCCTGGCCCCCTGTCCCTCGTGTTCGTCCTACTGAGCCGCCGCCGCGCACATTTCCGCGGCCACCGCCGGCAAAACCCGATAAGTCCGCGTTTTTATCCAAATTTGTATGCGCCGCATGCGGCGGCGGGATTTCTTTCGCGGTGTAATTTCGGGCTCTGCCCGAGGATAAAGTACCAGCGCTCGTCGTCGTTGTCGTCGTTGATTCGCGTGTAACTTCCTGCGCCATCGCGATTGGGAATTTGCGAAAAAATAATCGCATTCCTTTCATTCATCCCCGAGTTGGAGTTTTGCTCCTTCCTTTTCGACCTAAGTATTCCATTTAACGTTTACTTTGATATTCTCTAGTATGTATCAATCTTTTGATTTTGCTTAATCTATAGCTTTTTCGAAAGGACCTCTTTAGAATCTACAAGTGACATTTTGTGCGTTTTCTGCCACTTGGAGGTGTTCAGTAAGATTTTAGTATCCATGTGTATTGAATATACACTGTTCCTTCAGAATATACACAACTGTTGGAATATTTAGGCCGAAAGTAGGGCTAAAATTTTGATTCAGATGTACAGCGACTGTTCAAAATCTTATTACTATGAGTAGTTTGATAAGACAAGTTCAAGTATTCCCGCGGAGGGTTAAAATTGAGATCAACTGCTAGTCAAAGTCGCGGTTAATTTGCTCTTTTTTTTAGACTCCCTCTTTCTTTGAAAATCTTTTTAATATATTTCGCAAATGGCGCCAAATATATGTGGAGCTGCGTTGCAGAAATATTATACTTTCATACGCGCGAAAGCATTTTAATTAAAATATTTTTTCTTGAATTTTTTTTCAAACAAGCCAGGTATATCCGGTGTTGTGTCGGGTCGACCCGGCGATTTATTGCCCGACTCTTTCCGCAAAATATTTTTTTTCGCATGGGAATTCGGGCCGGTATAGTATAAAGTTTTAACCCGACCACATCCGACCATGCCCAATTCCAATCGAATCCGCCCGGTATTTCGCTTTTTTTCCCGCCGAAGAACTGATTAATACAATAAATAAAACGAAACTCCGCTTTTCCCATCGCCGCGGTAACCACCGCTTCGCAGCCATCGAAATTCCCGCGTGTTCAGACCACATTCTCCTATCCTCTCTTGCGCGTATCCTCTCGTCCGCGGCCAAAATCCTCGGAAAGAGAAGGAGAGAGAGGTAGAGAGAAATAGAGAGAGAGAGAGAGAGAGAGAGAGAGAGAGAGAGAGAGAGAGAGAGAGAGAG